CTCAGGGACCGACTCAAACGCACCAGGCACTGAATACGGACCAACAGACAGACACATATGGCACATGTGGCCATGAACGTCCCTTCGTTTTTGGCTCACCCGTGTCAGTATTGTTGTCGGCCACAGGGCGGCCATAGCCGAACTCAGCCCCGCAGTGGGCCGGGCTGGTCTCAAACGCTGAATGACAACGCGGAATGGACAACATGGATGAGTGAGTGAGTGTCTCTGCTAGTTGCGTGCATACCTGGCTGCCACACCGGCCGGCCCCACGGCGACATCTGACTCGGCGCCGCTTCCACCTGTGTAGCATTGACGGGCGGGGGCAGCTGGGCGGGCGGCGGCGGGTCAATGACGGCGGGCTGGGCGCCTGCAGTCAACCAAGGGAGAGGAGATGAATGCGTTCACACACGTCCATCATGATGGATAAATGCCCTTGTTCGGTCGCTCACCATGTCAGCCACGCCATCCTCAGGCACTACCACCTCGCCGTCGTGCTCATTGTAGCCCTCCTCTCCGTAGACGCCGGCCAGGCCCTCGCCGCCCGTCTGCGAGTGTGGCTGGCCCTGGGCGATGGCAGGGCGGGAGCCGCTGCTGCTGCGGAGGAAGCACACACACAAGTGAGAGTATCAGTGAGTCCATAGGACGTTCTCCCCTCTCGTCATACCGGGGGCATCCTGGTGGAGTGCCTCCATCATCTCGCAGCGCCGTTGCCACTCGGCCGCCATGGCTTTGTAGTATCTGAACGAATAGTTGCGGTACCCGAGGAAATAGAGAATTGAGAACACAATGTTATATCATGTCGACATGTCTTCTTACTCGATTTGACGGTCCCGCTCGTCGAGCTCGGCAAGGTATTCGGCGTGCTGCTGGTCCTGCATGAAGGACACACACAAAGGGGAAGGACACGTACGTCACATGAATGAGATGAGTGGGCGCTTCGTTCGTGAGTGGACACATACCAGCTGTCGCTGCGTGGAGTATCTGTAGTATTCCTTGGCGGCCTCGCTCTTGTGTCTGTATGGACGTCAAAGGAGCGAAAGGCAACACATCCACACCCATATGTACAAACAACATCTACATTGTCTGCCATACTTACATTTCCTCTCGACAGTACTGAGAGTGGCGGGTGAACATGGCGAAGGTGGGCGCCACGGCGGGCTTGAGGGCCTCTGGCTTCTTGCTGCTCTCAGTCACGGCCACATATATGCAGACGGCCAGTATTGACAGGCCAAGCCCCAGCAGGACGTAGAGCAGCCTCTTGAGCATCCTGTCGGCGGGGCAATCGGGGCATTGCTGGGCGCTGTATACTGTGAATGTGGTGGTGGTGGTGGTGTCGTATTCGCTGGGTGGCGCCGAAGGCGTGTCGCCTATCGTGGCCCCCCCGAGCGTACCAGCAGCCTACATACAGGACACACATGATAAGGAACACTCCACAATGCCCCCATCAGTTCTTCCCTCTCTCAGACCCACCTCCTCCTTGTCGCCTGTTGGCTTGTCGCCCTTGTCCAGCACGTTGCCGCCGTCTTCGTCTCCCTCAACTCCCCCCGTCTGTGAGTTGCCGCTCACTGACTGCACAGACGCCGGCGTCCGAGTGGTGACGGCCTGGCTGAAAGGGGTGATGGCAGCCAGGTGCCCCCAGAGCCCCGACAGCGGCTGTATGGACTCTTTGTTGCTGCTCCGTCTCTTGATGACGACGTGCACAGGTAGTTGCTCCGGCGATGTCACCGCTATAAAACGTCTCGTGGTCGGCGGTGTCTTCTCCTCTACGCACTGAACGCACCACACCAACACAGGTGAGAGAATACACAGCTGTGCGATGCATGAGACATGGATACAGCATTACATACCCTGACGTTGTTCCTGTCTTTGGGGCGGATGCCTGTATCCTTTGTGGTTTTCTGCCCGCAACTCTTGGTTTTCGAGTTGGATGCACGACACTCGGAGCAGCCGACGCTGTGTCACACACACAGACCCCACATAGACATACAATGTGCCAGCTGCTCGATTGGGCTGTGCCGTTGGTTGTGTTGTGCTCACCTGCAGAGGACCTCTTGGGCTGTACTGAACCGATCCAACGCCTCAGTCTGATCCCACATCGCCCCGACCACTGCATCCACGCACACAAACATGAATGGATGTCTCGGTTTGCCCCTTTATCCATGGCTGCCTTCCCGCTTACACAACGCACCTGTGTCTTCTTGTCTGCAGGGCGTTGCCGAGCCCTCGTCGGCACAGGGCATCGCTTTATTGCCACTCCACACGAAATCCTGTATCTCGTCATCATCGCCGTGGCTGTGGCCGGCGTGGCTATTGTCGCTCAGCCCCCCACTGCCGCCGCCGTCACCCCACAGCGACCGACGCATGTTGTCGGAACTTGCCATGCCCTTCGGACACATCTGTTCATATATATATGGCGTGGTGAGGTGTGGACAAAAGCTGTCTGTCTGTCTGTCTGTCTGTGTCCGCCTTTACCTGGTACATGTAGCCCTGGTCGTCTGCTGGGTCAGAGTGCTGGAAGCAGTACTCGCTCGTCGCATCGACCTTTCAGCCACACATATACACGGACACAACGGCGGCAACACATGAGGCACATGACTCCTCAGCCCCTCCAACCCACAAGGAAGGTACCTTGGTGAGTATGTCATGGTGCAGTGCCCGCAGCGACGTCACAATCGCCCACGGCGTGTGCGTGTTGACTCCAGCTTGTCCTTGCACTCCTGACCACAATTGGTGAGCCAGTCGCGGAAGAAGCCCACCAGCACGTCGTCCTTCTCGGCCTCGCTTCTCTTCCGCATGTCGGCCTCAGTCCACCCCAACATCTCGAGGTAGGCCGTCTTGCGCGTGGCGTTAAGGGCTTTGGTGGCGGGGACCAGGTGGGCCTCTAAGACGGACTGCATGGCGATGGTGCGCTTGGCCATGTGGGTGGCGGGGGACCACTGGTGTGCTGGCGTGGCGTCGGGGGACTGGGCCTTGGCGAGGGCAAAGAGGGCGAAAACTACCTCGGACTTGATGCTCTGTTGCTCCAGGTGAAGCAGATGGCTGCACACACACACACAGAGAGAGATGCGCAAATATGGACAGAGGGAGGGATGCATCGCAGTGTGTCACAAACACACACACACACACACTTACCTGCAGAACTCATCCTCCGTCTCGCGCATAGGTTTGCCTTTCTGCTGGCGGCCCTCCCGCTCGGCCAGTGCGGCGATGGCCCTGTTCTTGTTGAGCTCCTCATGCTCGACGATCTCCTCTACGTCGACGGGCGCCACGCCGCCTTTGGTCTGCTCAAACCGCTCATTCAGCCGCCTCTCCACATCCGTCTCGCCAGTGGACGGCTTCCACGGTACGGCCGCGGTGATGTCGCCGTCCGTGCGCTCGCCCTCCTTCATGTGGGCCAGCTGCTCAGCGGACTGGTCCCCCTCTGTCTTGTTGGGTGACAACGTAGGCTCCTTGGTCTGCATGGACACATACAAGCCAGGAACGCATCCAATGTCGGTGCATTCCGGCGTGGATCTTTCTTACGAGCTCAGACGTCTTGTGCGCCCCCCCGCTGCCTTTCTTTTGGAGCATTTGGGCGGTGGCCCTTCCCGGCGGGGTCATGACAAGGTCGGAGAGCCACCCGACCGGCTTACTATCCATCCACTTATCGATGTCCGTCAGGTGGACCCTTGGACCGACGCGCCACCACGTGACGGCGAAGGCGCCCAACAGGACGACCAGCAAACTGTGCATCGCGCTGGAATACACCATCATGCGAATGCTTTCAGCAGGAGAACCTTTCTGAAAGCCTTTGCAAAGTTTTTTTGAAGTCGGATGGACAAGCTCCTTTCAGCTCGCACGATGCTCGAGATCCAGGATTTGGCAGATCTCTTTCATAGAAGTGACCAGCATGCTGCCCTGCATCAGCAGAAGGTCGAGCCGACGCTGAGTGTTGTCATTACACAAAGATCTGCTTCAAATTGTACGGGGCCCGCACCCCGAGTGGGGATGGATGCAACACAAAGCCAGTCTGTAACTGTACCGCTACCACATAAACCCATTCACACGGGGACAGCAGAAGGGCAGTACACAGGGCGTGTCCCCTCTTCTCCGCCCCCACTGGCTCCGCCCATCCACAGGCAGCGGAAGAAACCGACACGTACGTCTGGCCGAGTGGCCAATATATGCGGCAGTGCAGTCCACCTGGCCTCTCTCCCCTTGTCTGTCTGTCTGTCTGTCTGTCTTCTCTCTCCAAATTGGGGGAAAGGGATGAGCGCAGCGAAAGGCAGACCGACCGACTGTGTCGTATGTGTGTTGGTCATCGCATGAAATGCGTGGAGTCTCTACAGTCACGACCAGTTTTGGCTTCGCATCAATGGATGGATGGATTCATGAGGGCCCGTACGTGTTTGGCTTGGATGCCAGTGCGCGTACAGACAGAGTCGACAGACACATTCCATGGGTGTGTGTGGTCCTCCGTCATTGCCATTCCTGTATGAAAGCGTCAAAGGCTCTCAAATCACACGTATCCACCACCACAAATCGAGCACGGCAGCCAGCCAACCAACCTGTACAAGATACATGGCACCTCC